GATGTCTGGGGCCAGAGTTGGATATTGTCCTAATAGCAGCTTTGTGTTGAGTAATTAGAGGACGTAAGTGATTTTGGGTAGTAGAGCCCCAAGCACAAATACCATAGTTGAGATATGGATAGATAAGGGAGTAATAGAGAGTCACCAGGACAGGGCGTGGTACATAATATCTGATCTTAGAAAGAATGCCCACAATTTTTGAAACTTTTTTTTATATATTTAGAATGTGTCCCTGGAAATTCAGCTTGTGGTCAATGAGAATGCCCAGGAATTTGCCATCTAATTTGTTACAAATTTGGGTATTGTTTATTTTGAGATTTATTTGATTAGAGGATTTATTGCCAAACAGAATATAGAAAGTTTTGTCAATGTTAAGGGTGAGTTTGTTGGCAGTTAGCCAAAGATGGACTTTATTAAGCTCAGTATTTACTGTGGCATTTAGAGCAAGCTTGGTGTGGCAGCTGACAGTCGCGGAGTGCTGAGTGTGTTTGTGGTGAATGTATATAGTGTGTGACAGTGTATAGTGTGTAGACTGTATATATACATAAATTAGCATAATACAGTGGAAATATGTGCCGGATATGTGTACACATGTGTCATGCACGTAACACAGTGTTTTCGGACAGTACGGATGTTCTACTGCCATAATATAGTGTTCATTGTACATAGGATTGGCATGTAAAAGCATAACATGTATTTGGAACTGTGCGCAGAAAATGAACAAAAATATATTAGTGGCAACTCGCGCATCCTGCCTCGAGCGCCCTTCCGGGCCCGGGGTCGTATGCCAGGGGCAACCAGGGAATGATGACGTCACGTACGAACTTTCGGACCCCATAGCAGCTAAAGTACTTACAATTTCGACCTTCTGTTACTATACCCACTCAGGGAAGGGTTTTTTGACACTTTAAAAACAGAAAAGAATTTTGTCCAGAGATTTCATTTACTGCGCTCTGGGGGATGTCATATTTGGAGGCCATGTAGTAAAGGGGTTAAAGGACCCTAGAGCCATGAGGGCTCTACGAGAGTCAACTACAACCACAAAGGAGGATTGACAACGAAAAAGCAGGAGACGAAGAGCATAGAGAATAGCATAAGGTTCAGCTGTGAAGATGCTAGGCTCAGGAGGTAGGCGACACATATAAGTGCGGTCAGGAAAAACAACAGAGTAGCCTACACCGTCCGCAGACTTAGACTCATCGGTGAAGATGGAAACGGAGCAGGAGTGTGAAGAAAAGTGCTCAAGGAAAAGGCGTTTCAGAACCGTAGGAGGGGTAAAGCTTTAGTGATGTGGGTCAAGGATGTGCAAAATGTTGGAAGGGGGACTCTCCATGGGGGCAAGGAAGGAACAATACGAGGAGAAATATTAGAAATACGAAACGAAAGAGAATCCTGTAAGCAAGATAACCGGACAAAAAAAGGGAGGTGGTGAAGAGGAATAGGAACTACAGGAGGGGTAAAAATCAAAGCATGACAGAGGCGAGAGGAAGGATGTTGCAAGGACTGCGCAAGATAGGGAAGACAGTAGTGATCATGGCGGTCCTGGAGAGATAGGAAGCCAGTGTCAACATACAAGCTGAGGGCGGGAGTTGAACGAAAGGCACCAGAGCTGAGGTGCAACCCAATATGGTGGAAAGCATCATGACGGTGAAGCGTAGAAAGAGAAGCAGATGAGTAAGCAGGGCAACCATAAACGAGTTTAGACAGGACGAGAGAGAAATGTAAAGAGATGAGTGTGCGCCTATCCATTCCCCAAGAAGTATGGGACAAAACCTTTAGGAGGGTAAGGGCCTTAGAGCATTCAACACGGAGGTAAGAGATATGGGGCAACCAAGACAAATGAGTGTCAAAGATTAACCTCAGCGCAGCGGAATCCTTGTACAGAAGGGGATGACCATAAAGCAATAAAGAGGGACGAAGAACAACATGCTTCTGAGTAAAATTCATAGCACAAGTCTTAGACGAAGAGAACTTGAAGCCATGATTGGTGGCCCCAAGACGATACAGCATCAATTGCTAGTTGAAGCCGCTGTTGAAGGAGAGGCGAATCATCACTCCAACACCAAAGGGTAAGATTGTCGACATAAAGTGGAGAAGACGCCAGAAGGAAGAGAAGAAAGAAGACCATTGAGGGCAACCAGAAAAAGAGTAGTGCTCAGAACACTACCTTGAGGTACATCCTCATATTGCCTAAAAGGGGCAGAGAGAGTGGTACCAAGCCCCACTCAAAAGGAACGACGAGAGGGTAACGGCCTTACCTCCAAATCTCTTACCTCCGTGTTGAATGCTCTAAGGCCTTTACCCTTTGGAGGAAAAGAGGAAGATTACCCCGAAGGCCAAAAGAATGAAGTTGGGACAGAATATGATATCTCCAGGTGGTATCGTAAGCCTTTTCCCGGTCAAAAAGGACGGCAACAACAGAGGTCTTCGCAGCAAAAGCAGTACGAATATAGACCTCCAAGTTCACCAGGACATCTGTTGTGCTGCGGCACTTGCGAAAACCAAGTTGAGAAGGAAAGAGATGGTGATAGTGTTCTAAGGACCACATCAGACGAACGTTAACCATACGTTCAAAGAGTTTGCAGACACAACTCATGAGGGCAATAGGGCGGAAGTCCTTAGGGAATGTCCCGAGAGACCCTGGTTTCCAAACCGGGAGGACAACGGCATTGAAACAGTCCTCAGGGACTGACGATGACTCCCAGACCCGATTATACAAACTCAGTAAATACTGAAACATGCACGGAGGGAGATGGCGAAGCATCTCAAAATGAATGCCATCGGAGCCTGCTGCCGTAGAACCGCAGAGGGCCATGGCAGACTGAAGTTCAGAGAAAAGGGATCGTTATATGGAAGATTGAGATGGGGTGCAGAAATCTAAAGAACGAGATTCAAGAACAGGCTTACGAAGAAGGAAAGATTGAGGACGATGAGAACCAGAGCTAACAGACGAAAAGTGTGAACCCAGTTCGGTTGCGACCTGCAATGGGTCCGCCACAAGAGCACCACAGAGGTGAAGGATCGGCGAGACATTGGGAACAAACTTACCCGCTATCTTGCAGATACGCTTCCAGATCTGCGGCACAGAAGTTTTAAACATAATTATGGATTAAGTATAAAAATAACATTTATATCCTTAGAACACTAATTTTCATGCAAAAACTTTGCAAAATAAAAAATGGATAAACAGTCCATGGATATTGTGACCATATTTATTAAGGATTAACAGTGTCTTTCTTATCATATGGCAAGCTACATTATTCTAAGAATATGGTAAAACTGGTAAGGTAATATTATCATCATAAGTTTAGTTTAGTTCATATATTTTGCACCCCATACCTGTACTGTGGGTAGTAGTGGAAAGGGTTACAGAGGCACATGATGGGCTCAAGGACTGAACCCCACAATTCATTAATCTAAGCTAGTTACAAACTTGATCTAGTTACAAAATTCAATGAACAGACTACACTTTACTTCATATTTTCTTAAATACGACAGGGCTAAGTTCTGATTCATTTAAATAAGCCCTAATTTAAGCTCCCTTAACCCTCAAACCGCGCATATCATATATAAATGATATCAGTGACAAAACCGAAACCGCGCACATCATTTATATATGATTTCGTGTCTAGTGCTATAATTTAAACGCCCCACCTGGGATAGGGGCAGCTATAGTACAGCCACAACCGATAGTTGCCAGATGCCACCTAGAAAAAAAAATCCAGGCCAACATTCTTGGGTGTTACAGCGTCAGTATTGAGCAAGCCTGGCGCACGCTGCACGAGCTCACAGCACCGCTGTTCAGCTTGTGACCACAGCATCGCCTACAAATACCATAATATAAATGATACTGCTATTATTTAGCAGTGATAGTATTACTGAAGCCCCCTGACTGTGATAAAACTGACCCGGATTCTGATAATAGCAGGATTGTGGTGATATTTAGCGCTGTGCTCCATGGAGGGAGGAGTAATGCTGTGGGAGGGAGGGTTGTGGCGTCGTTTTCTGACTGTGTGTGGCCCCCATTTATTGACTGCACTCACCATACCAGCTTAGTGGTTTGCTATGGTGAACACAAATGTAGATACTTATATATAACGTGTGTATAGTGTGAGATAACAGCGAGAGGAGTAGGTTGGGAGCCGCCATTTTGGTGAGGGAGGAGCGTCGTCTGCACGACTTGGCATGTTGTTTACTGATGGCCACTATGGTCTTTGGGCACCATACCAGCTTATTTGTACAGGTATGGTGAATAAAACAGGTAGATACTTATATATACTGTGTGTATATAGCGTAATAACACCACAAACAATATTGTTGGAGGACAAATATTAGTGCGTCTGGCCTCGAGGGCGGCCGCCGATCAGCTGACTGTGTGAGTAGCTACGTCTTTGTGCCTTTACTCACTATACAAGCCTAGATGTACAGTTATGGTGAACAAAACATGTAAATACGTATATATAACGTTTGTGTATAGTGAATAAATACAGAAACAGTATTGTGGGAGGTGAATGAGGGTGAGTGAGGTGGTGTTGAGGGAGGGAGTGGCAGTGAGTGGCTCGCTGGTGTTTGGCGGTCACTCCTTGTTGCTTTTTGACTCACAAGACCAACTTAGTAGTTCGTATGGTGTACAAAACATGCAGATACTTATATATAACCTGTGTATATAGTGTAACAACAGCAAAACTATTTGTTTATTGTTTTATGAACATAATAATTGAATCAATAATATGCACACCATAATTTTGAGTACAGCGATGGTTCACACATTTTATAATATAAATATACCACAATTCACTATATGGAATAATATTACTGCAAAAAACTAAGAAAAAATCAGAGACATTGAAATAATTAGGTAATAAAATATTTGTGGCAACTGCTGTCTGACAGCTCGGGCGGAGTAGACCTCGTCTGGCGAAGGCTCTGTCAACGCCCCTTTTTTGCCACACTTCCCTACCCTATTGCGGCTAAAATATGCCACCTACGATTTTTTTGTTATTTTTTCCGTGATCAGGGAACAAAAATGAACACTTCTATAAGACAAAAGAATTTTTTTGATTTTTTTTTTGTTGCGCCTGTGGGTGTGAATTCCATTTGGGCCCCTAGCGGTTTGAGGGTTAAAGCTTGGAAGCTGGAGTTTTGTAGCTCATCTCTTGCCAGTGCTTGGATCGTGTTGCAGCTCCTGGGGCGGTGAGCATTGTTGTCTTCAGATGGTCGTAAACCTGTAAGGAGACAAAATTACACACATTTCAGTAACATAAAACAAATATTAAATGTAATAAAAAGCCAATTTCTGGGTGAGCCCCAGTGGCTCCCTTAAGCTACTTCCACACATATGTACCATCTACTAGGTTGCATCAGCTGTGGAGATCTATTGGTCTACTGGGAACCAGCACCAGAACCTGTCCCCCCTCTGAGAGGGGAGACAGGTAACCTTTATTTATTGATGCCACAAACGGGAAAGGCACCCAGAAAGTCAGAGAGACAAACCACTATTGGCTTCAACAGAAACTACAGCATAGAGGACCGTCAAAAGAATTAACCCCCAATATAAACAAACGTTGGGGGAGGGTGGGGGAAGCTCATGGTCAACTGGCCTCTCCACCCACAGTTGTGTGTTAGATGTGACAGATACCCTGATGACCTGGAGGGAATGAGGAGGGTCAGGGAGCCACCAGGGCTCACTCAGAAGTTGGCATTTCATTATATTCAATACTGCTTTTCTGGGGGAAGCCCCTTGAGGCTCCTGAAGCTAACTACCCACGGAGAAGAAGAAAACATAGGCACTTATCAGGGATAAGGGAGCACCCTAGGATCAAAACAAAGAGGAGCCACCTGGCCAATATACACGGCCAAAAGCCACACGAGTGCTTAGGCCCAGTAACATTAACCCTTAGACCGCGTAATACATATATAGATGATTTGACTAACAAAACCGGTACCGCGCAATACATCAATAGTTGTTTTCGTGTCTAGCGCTATAATTTAAACGCCCCGCGTGGGATAGGGGCAGTCATCGGCGAGCCGCACCCGACCATAAACAAACGCCACCTGGGAAAAAATCTAGCGTAGCCCGCCACTGTGTACAGGCCCCAGTTACCCGGCGGACACCATGGTGAGTGCATCAAGTTCCAAAGATCGACCACGCTCAATGAGGCGTTCATCGCGACCTCTGACCGAGGATGAAATTAATAAGAATTTGTTCCCGGATGGTGATGAATCTGATATTGATGACTCCGACATTGATCACGACTACACACAGCCCTCAGAAGTGGATACGATCGACGACGAGTGTGAACATGCTGGTTCCACAAGGGCTAGGCCTAGCATCTCACTCATGCCTCCTCGCCCCTCACTCGACCCCACTTTGTGCCAGATCACACAGTTCATGTGCTACCTTGCAAGATACAGTATTGATGTTTTGGTCATTGATAAGGACTACACACAATTGACTGATGATAGTAGCACAGACAGTGAATTTGAGATACAGCCTGCTCCCATGGTGAGGCCTACACGCTCACCAGTGCTGCCTCGCCCAGTATCTGCTCCAGTTCACCCATGACCACACAGTTCTTGTACTTATTTGGAGTATGAGGATATTTTGGGTGACAAGTCAGAGGAAGGTGACTCTTTTTCTGGTTTTAGTGAAGTGGATTCAGAGCATAGTATTACCACGCCTGTCACTAGTGCCAGTGGTGTTACTAAGCGAGATTTTGTCGCGTCAGCAGCGTCTCGCCTAGCCAAGCGCCGCCACATGACACCACATGAGGAACCATCACTCCACATGTTCACATGATTTTACCCCACGTTCATGTAGCACCCGTACTTTGCGAAGACGGGCTTCAGCTCCTAGTCCACGGTGTGCAATGATTCCTCGCCGTGGTGTTGCTGTTTCGTCTCGCAGGACACCAGGTGTACTTGTGTGGAGTGATGGTGACGATTTTATTCCTCTAATTCCTGCCTCTGACAATAAAGACATTGGGAATACAGACATTTTCCCTGATACTGGTGAGGACATGTGTGAAATGGATTATTTTACAGCATTTTATGATAAGTCGCTCATGGAATATATTGTACACCAAACGAACCTTCATGTGGCTCATCTCATTGGAAAAGAGATAACAGAATATTCATGATTGAAGCGTTGGAAAAACACAACTGTAGGTGAAATGTATGTATTTTTGGCACTATGTATGTTGATGAAACATTGTGTAAAACACGATATCACAGATTATTGGAGCAAAGACCAGACTGTTCCATCACCTTTGTTCAGGAAATATATGTCCCGAGACAGGTTTCAGATACTCCTCAGGTGTCTGCATTTTGCAAGTAATGAAGACCGGACAGAGGATGATAGACTTTGGAGAGTCAGGCACATTATGAATAATGTGATTAGAAAGTACAGAGTACTTCTGTGCTGGTACAACGTACCAGCACAGAAGCTGGTGATTGATGAATCCCTTGTGCTTTTCAAAGGACGTGTTGCCTTCAAGCAGTATATTCCCTCCAAACACAACAGATTTGGAATGAAATTCTTTGTTCTTTATGACTGTGAAACATGATACATGTTACACATGATTCTGTATTCTGCTAGCGATATAGACATTCCTGGTAATGACCAACATGGTTTCTCAGGTAGTGTGGTGAAGTCACTGATGGCATCATGGATGAACAAGGGCCACATTTTATACTCGGATAACTACTATACAAGTCCCATGCTAGCTAGGTTCTTGATTGAAAATAGAGCTGGATTGGTTGGCACAGTAAAGCCAGGAAGAAGGGAAATGCCAGTGTTTGACAATAAACTTGAAGTTGATGACTGCCAGCTAAGAAAAAGTGATCAAATACTCTCAGTTAGGTGGAAAGACAAGAGAGAAGTGAACTTGCTGACAACCATTCATGATGGTACAATGGTGAACAGTGGCATGGTGAATCAAGTAACGCAAGAACCAGTATATAAGCCAGATTGTGTTCTTGACTATAATATCAACAAGCGTTTGGTTGATAAATCTGACATGATAGTGGGCACTGTCGAGTGTGTTAGGAAAACATTGAAGTGGATGAAAAAAGTGTTTTTCCATCTTGTTGACATAAGCATGCTGAACAGCTACAATACAGTTTTCAGTTGTGAACAGTTTTCTGGTGAAAACTGGACGTAAACAAAGTTTCCGTTCGTTTGGTTTACACTTGTGACACAGTTACTAACAAAGTTTGGCAAAGATATTCCTGGCATTCAAAAACCCATCATGAACCCAATGTTGCACCATGCTGCTACACCCAGGCTCACTTACATTGAGGGCTTTCAAGCACACAGATTAAAACATTTGCCACCAGCTGGAAAGTGTGCAATAGGCCAACATGATTGCACACTTTGTAAAACCACAGAAACGTAAATTGGTGCAAACATGATGTGAAGCGTGTGCACTCCCATTGTGTGCTGTCAACTGCTTCAACTACTACCACTGTCTCCAAGACTTTTAAATGTGCAATAATAGTGCAAAAACCAGTAAATAGTGAGTGGATGTGTGTAAATATAATATCGAAAATGTGAATACGTATTATATATGACATAATTGAAAACATTTGTGTGTGCATGTATATACTCAATGTATGCAAGTTGTACAGTATTATCATTGAACATCAAGTAACATTATATGCAACAAAATCAGTGAAAAAAAACAGAATTGAATGTAATGAAACGCCATTTTCTGGGTGAGTCCCGGAGGCTCCCCGGAGCTATCCCAGGCTGATATGCTAATGTCAAACTTCGGCATCAGTCATGTGTATGGAGTTCTTAGGCCTACCGGGGACCACGGCCAGAACCGGGCCCCCTCAGAGAGGCAAGGGGAGCAATGGCCTATAGAAGCCCCCGTGTGGTTGAAAGCATTCTATGTCTGCCATCGACCGGAACAGGCACCCAGAAAGGTAAGCACCTCAAAACAAACCCCTATTCTGGTTAAAATTGCTACCAAAAGCCGAACTAGTGGATAGAACTCCCCAAAAGAAAACAAGCAAACTAGTGTAACGTCACACGCCGCCGCGCTGCTGTCTGCGCAGCTCCCCCCTCCCCAGGAGGGGAAAGGGGGAGGCCCAGACCCTCCACGCCGGCTACCCACACCTCAGTTCTTGAGGCTGGATGTCAAAAATGCGAAAAAAATGCCGACCGGAGGGAGGGAGGGATGCCGGGGAGCCTCCGGGACTCACCCAGAAAATGGCGTTTCATTACATTCAACGCTGGTTTTCTGGGGGAAGCGCCGTCGGCTCCGCGGAGCTAACTACCCACAGATGGAAAAAGAGGGACTTACCCGGGAGGCGGTCATTGCTCATTCCTCAACTCAAAGCCGAGACAACTGGCTGCAACTGCCAACCCAAAGCAACACAGGCCCAACGGGGCCCAGGGACATTCACAAGGTAACGAGCAGCCAGGACCCTGTTCAAACGCCAAAATCCCCGCGCCCGAATATCAGACCAAGACATATTCCCAAAGACGGCAGCAAGAGCCGTGAACTTACGAACGTCATGGGCACGGGGATAGACCGCAGGCTGGCTGGACTTAATAACCCTGCGAACGACCTGGGAGACCTGAACCCGCGAACAGGGAAGAAGGAAAACTGGATCAACCCACAGCGCGTCCCCGGACACAGAAGCCGTGGCGCACAAATAACGGCAAAGCGCCGCAACCGGACACAAAACATGATGCACCCCCAGCCTGACCAACCAAGCATCAACCGCCCATGGACCCCTCCGGAACGCAGCAGTCTCATTCTTCGCCAGAAAAGAAGGAGACGGCTGCAAGCGAACAAAACAATCACCACGACCAAAAGAGCAGGAACCCCTGCGCCGGAGGAGAGCGTGAAGCTCCCCTACCCGACCCCCAGAGGCCAAAGCCAACAAGAAAAGTGCCTTAGAAAAACACTCCTGGACCGAAGGGGCCACAACGAAACGAGGAGACGAAAGGAAAGCGAGCACTCTGTCCAAAGACCAGGACGGCTCAGGCGGCGCATGAGCAGGCCAGAGGTGAAACAATGCACGAGACAGCTTGCGAACGGCGCAGACATAACATTGATACCGAAGGCAAGCTGAAGCGGCTCCGCCAGCGCCGCACGATACAAGGCGACAGTGTTAGGCATAACATGACGGTCCTGAAACAACCACGAGAGGAAGGACAAGACCACCCGAACAGACAAGGAATTAACACGACGAAGACGCAAAAAGAAACAGA